TCCGTAAAGGGATCAAGCAAGAAACTGAAAGGGTATAAAGAAGGCGAAATTTCGTAAAATATAGCATGTCCACACGATGTAAATTTCACCAAAGGATTTCAAATGCGAATCACTTCTCGCCTTCTATCAGTGAATGTCAACAACTCAGCAGTCGCTACTTGTGGCAATAAGCTACCAACCCAAGTCAAACGCAGGAGAGCAGGTACAACTACTACTACCACCACCACCACCACCTCACACTTGAGTTGTGACTGTTGAAGTTGTTGTGCCTAAAGACGCATCAAAAGTGCGAATGTTACGGTTGTTGTGAATGGAGGTTCATTTCTGCTCCTCCAGATGACCATGCACAGGCATCCGCATAATGTAGAGGCGAATCTCTACTCCTCCTCCTCCGCCTTTCTCTCTCCCCCTCCCTCTGCCCCACACCCCCACTGCCTGATTCCATTGGTCCACAGTCGAGCGTTGTTGTGCATCTCTGCTTTCCCATGCATTTATCTGCCAGCACGAGTGAGATACACGTCTTGTTTCTTACTGCACTCCTGCGCAAGCATTTGAGTCTTCACGTGGGTGGTGCTGCCACTCGCCACACGTAATGCCGATGTCAACATGAAGCCGCTCTCACCTCCGACCATCTCTGCAACGCGGTGTGTGTGAGTGAGGGTAATGGAAACAAAAAAATTGCAACAATGATGACACAGATGTTGTGTGTTTGTGTTGAGGGTGACAAAAGAGGAGGAGGAGGAGGAGGCTATCCATCTTCAGGCGCGGTGCAGATTGGTGTGACAGAGCACTTCTGGGTGACAGGACTGTCCGTGTGACGTTGTTTGTGGATGTTAGAGATGTTGGCACTGCAGAGGTGATAGGCGCCTGATTGTGCTAGTGTCCAAGAGTGTGCCTCATTGCCATTGACTTCCAGTTCCGCAACCACTTCAGGAGCAGTGGCGCCAAGAATGAGCTAAAGTGGACACAAGGATAATTTGGTGTCACTTAGACTGTGCGATAGTGGAATCCACCGGAGAAGAACCGTGTGGGTTAGTGTCCAATTAGGGGCAGTTGTTGTTCAGCGTGCATTCCGATGCAACGACGAGGACTCCTCCATTGTGGCACTTGGGTGGGGAGTGCCAAAGGGCCAGTCAGTGAATGTGATGGCAGTGGAGGCAGGGGTCGCCTCTCACCACATCAGTGGTACTGCTCTCTGTGAACTTTGCCGCGACGATGCTAAACAAGTGTCACCATCTTCACGAGTCGTCGATTCGTGTTTGGTGGCAACCTCACCTCGTGCATTGAGGTAATGCAAGAAGGCTAGTGATTTCAGTTTTTTATGCACACCCAATTTTGATGCAAATGACTGCACACGTCGGGACGGTGTCACTCAGAAGTATTTGTTGCTCACATTCCCTTCCTCTTCGTCGTCGATGTGGGAAGATGTCAAGGTGGTCGACAGTGCTCACCGATCTCCATTCTCCTCTTGTCGCCGTGTGCAGTGCCTTCATGAACTATTTGGACGCACGCAACTCATCCATCCGTCAGAGTGCACTGTTGGCCTCAAGGAGACAGAAGGGGTTGATTGTAGAGAGCGTCGGCAGTCCTTCCTCCTTTTCCTCCCAATCGGCTAAACGTGTGGTGCAGAGACTACACAAGACGAAAGTCCATCCAATGTCATATGTGGAGGCATCGTCAAGTGCACACTTGTCATGTTCTCTTCTGCCACCTCACTTCACTTCTCCTCACCTCACCTCACCTCATCTCACCTCATCTCAATTCACATCGCTCTTGCCGCTGCCTCTTTGCCTCCTGATGTTGTGGCCCACGG